CATCATCATCATCATCATCATCATCATCATCATCATCATCATCATCATCATCATCATCATCATCATCATCATCATCATCATCATCATCATCATCATCATCATCATCATCATCATCATCATCATCCGGAGCGTCGCGTCCCGGATCGGCGGGATCGGCGGCACTGGCAGGAGGCCACTACAGTAAGCTTCTGCACCTCGCAAACCAATCCGTCTTGTGATTCACTTTCTGCAGATTCGAGCCTCCAGCATCCACCGAGACGGCATCTCAGATGTCACCCGTTGCCCTCCACCCAAAGAACATGCTCGGACAAAAACCTCACCGCAGGGCCCGTCACCACACGGTTTTTGGAACACTGGAGGCCCCAGTTGCCCAAGGCATCCGCCGAGAACGGCCCGGGTTCCCCAAAACCGCGCGGTGAGCGTTCGGGTGCTCCCGCCGAGGGGCCCCTCGAGGAATCCAGGGCAACGAACGCTGACATGAACACAAAAAACTCTGGAGTCCGCGCGAACTTCTCGGATCGGCGCTGGACACCCTCCCTGGCGCGCGGAGCGCGCCAAGGGCGGCGCCAGGGGGCCCCAGCGCCGATCCGATAAATCCGCGCGGACCTCCGAGTTTGTATGTATATGTCATTGTTCGTTCCCCTAGAACCTGGGCGATGCGCACAAGGGGGTGGAGGAAGCGGGGGGCTTCTTAGAAAGAGGCTGCTTCCTAGAAGGCGCGGGCCTTGCATCTGCAGAGAAGGCCCGCGCCCTCTAAGAAGCAGGGGTGCTTCTAAGAAGCCCTCCCCCCTCCCCCTACCCCCCTCTGCGCGTGACTGAGAATCTCCGGACACTCCGGGCCAGTGCGTGCCTCTCCCCTCTAGATAGGAGGGCAACAAATCCACCCCCATGAGACCCACCCCGACAAGCGAGGCCGTTCAGCAAAAGCACCCCAAAAAGGAGGAATCGAACAGGGCAGGGCTGCTTCGTGAACGCCCCGGGCCGTTCAGTTCAGCAAGCGCCGATGATCGGGTCCGCGTGGATTCTCCCCCCTTGACCAAAACCCCCAGGCTCGCCATCGCTCGGACGTCCATTCCCCGTGCATTTTTTGATTTCGTGTGCGCATCTTTCGCCAAATGATCAAAAATGCTCATCAAAGGTCCACGCCGAAAAAAAATGCACACGTCCGAGCGACGCCAAGCAGACACTGGGCTGGCCCGTGCCTCTCTCCTGCGCCCTCTCGCGCCGCGCCTCCCGCGCCGCCGCCGCCGCGCGCAGCTCCCGCACCTGAGCGGCGCGGGCCGCCGCCGCCGCGCGCGTGGGGAGGGGAACGCCTCCTCGCCCCCCCCCTCGCCCTCGCCGCCTCTCCCCTCCTCCTCGTCCTGCCTCCCCTCCTCCTCCTCGCCCTCCTCCTCGTCCACCCTCCCCTCCGACTCCACTCCTCCTCCTCCTCCTCGTCCTCTTCCTCCTCCTCCTCCTTCTCCTTCTTCCTCCTCCTCCTCCTCTTCCTCCTCCGCCTCTCCTCTTCCTCCTACCTCCTCCTCCTCCTCCTCCTCGCCTCCTCCTCCTCCTCCCTCCTCTTCCTCCTTTTCCTCCTCATCCTCACCCCTCCCCTCGCGCTCTCCCTCCCCTCCCTCAGCATCGGGCGACACATTTCAACACGCCCGCGGGCCCGCAACCGCAACTGGGCGACACATCTCAATCCGCTCGCGGGCGCGCAACCGCAACCGCAACTACGCCACACATTTCGACCCGCCCGCGGGAGCGCAACGGCAACCGCAACTTGGCGACACATGTTTACCCGCCCGCGGGCGCGCAACCGTAACCGCAACTGGACGACACATTTCGACCCGCCCGCGGGCGCGCAACCGCAACCGCAACTGGGCGACACACTTCGACCGCCCGCGGGCGCGCAACTGCGCTACTGGGCGACACATTTCAACACGCCCGCGGGCGCGCAACCGCAACAGCACCTGGGCGACACATTTCAACCCGCCCGCGGGCACGCAACCGCAACTACGCGACACACGTCGACCCGCCCGCGGGAGCGCAACCGCAACCGCAACTGGGCGACACATGTCAAGCCGTCCGCGGGCGCGCAACCGCAACCGCAACTGGGCGACACATGTTTACCCGCCCGCGGGCGCGCAACCGCAACTGGGCGACACATTTCAACCCGCCCGCGGGAGCGCAACCGCAACCGCAACTGGGCGACACATTTCAACCCGCCCGCGGGAGCGCAACCGCAACCCCAACTGGGCGACACATGTCAACCCGCCCGCGGGCGCGCAACCGCAACCGCACCGCTCACCGCCGCTCACCTGCCGCCCTCCTCCAGAAGATCTGAGGCGGAGGAAGGGTGGGAGGGATGCGGGAGGGAGGGGGGGAGGAGGGAGGCGGGATGGAGGAGGAAGTAGGGGGGGGAGGAGACGGAGGGAGGGTAGAGAGCTTACAATGATTGGGGGCGGACAACTTCTGCACCCCCGCTCCACGCATGTGGATCCCCACAAGGGTCCAGACCCTGGATTCCTTATCCAAGGCCCCCACGGTCTGCTAGCGGGATGGGTGGGTCAACCGCCCCCGAGGGGGGAGAAGAGGCTTTGACAGAAGCGGTCTTTTTGCACCGCCTAGTTTGAAATTGGGGGGGCGATGCCGCGGGGATCGATGCGCGTTCACCCGCGCGCAAGCTGCCCGCGGATGCAGGCGCATCGGCACCGTCTCATTCATGCAGCCAGCCGCGTCTTATTCACGATCTGGTGCAGGAGCAGGTGGAGGAGGAGGGGGAGGAGGACGAGAAGGAGGTAAGGGAGGAGGAGAAGGAGCAGCAGGACGAGGAGGAGGATGAGGAGGAGGAGCAGCAGGACGATGAGGAGGAGGAGGAGGAGGACCAGGATGGCCAGGACGAGGAGGACGATGGGGAGGGGGATGCCAGGGTGGTGCTGCTTGAGCAGGTGCACGAGCAGGTGCTTGTTGCGGAGGACGGAGGAGGATGAGGTGGTGTACGTCAAGGAGCATATGGGCGTGGAGGTGGATGTCCTCCTCGCAGCCTTCGGGCGTGACCCGCGGTTCTCCGCCGGGACACTACAGCGGGGAATTCCCATTCCACGCTGCTGCATCTGATTGATCCCCCCTCCGGTGACCATTGTGTTTTTTCAAACTTGAATTGCTTCCACCGGGGCTCGCAACTTGTTCTCTTATCAGGGAAAATCACGGGGCAAACTGTGTACCTGGCCTCCGGGTCACAACAACAAAAGCTCCTGCTTTAGACTTCCTCGCTATTTCGCCCAGACACCCGCTCCCGCCTGAGACTGCCTGGCATTTTGCTCAGGAGTCGCGTTCTCGCTTGGGACTTCCGTACATTTGTTACAAGAATCACCCTCTCGGCGCTCTAGGGTTGCGCTCTCGCTGGGGACTTGCTTGCAATGGATTCGAGAATCGCGCTCTTGCGTTGCAATCCCCCGCAATTTACTCAAGCGCCGCGCTCCCGACATTCAGGAACCCAGGAGTCGCGCTCACGCCTGGGACTCCCTCGCAACTTATTTGGGAATCGGGATCTCGTTGCCCTTCGCGTCCACCTTGCAGCCCCTCGTGGCCCCCCCGCTGGCCTCCGCGGCCCCGTTGCAGCCCTTCGTGGCCACCATCGCTGCCCTTCGTGGCCCCCTTGCAGCCCTTCGTGCCCCCCTCGCTGCCCGTCGTGGCCCCGTTGCAGGCCTTCGTGGCCGCCTCGTTGCGCTTCGTGGCCCCCTTGCAGCCCCTCGTGACCCCCCTCGCTGCCCTTCATGGCCCCGTTGCAGCCCTTCGTTGCCCCGTTGCTGCCCTTCGTGGCCCCCTTGCAGCCCTTCGTGGCCCCCCTCGCTGCCCTTCATGGCCCCGTTGCAGCCCTTCGTTGCCCCGTTGCTGCCCTTCGTGGCCCCCTTGCAGCCCTTCGTGGCCCCCCTCGCTGCCCGTCGTGGCCCCGTTGCAGCCCTTCGTGGCCCCCTCGCTGCCCTTCGTGGCCCCCATCGCTGCCCTTCGTGGCCCCCCGCTGCCCTTCGAGGCCCCCTTGCAGCCCTTCGTGGACCCGTCGCTGCCCTTCGTGGCCCCATTGCAGCGCTTCGTGGCCCCCTCGCTGCCCTGCGTGGCCACGTTGCAGATCGCGCTATCGCTCGAGACTTCCTCGCGATTCATGCAGGACGCACGCTTCAGCAACCCGCTTGCTCGACCTGGCCGCCTCGGCCCGCCTTCTCGACCCGCCCGTCAAGGCCTATCCGCCCGATCTGCCCGTCTGGTTTTGCCACTTGTTTACTTGTTCCTAGCCCCCTTCTGCTACTCTCTCTCTCTCTCTCTTCCCCTCTCTCCCTCGCACTCCATCACCATCCCTTCCGCTTGTCCCTTCCTTCCAGCAGTCCTCTCTTCCCCTGCCTCGGGGGCTGCACGAAATACACGTTGCAGGTAAGGAAGATATACCACCCTAGGAGGTACGATCGAAGACGAAGAGGGCGGGTATTGAGGGTTTGGGGTACGCGTGTTGAAGAATGGCACGCGAGCAGATAAGAGCGATCAATATTAAAAGAAAGTGTGTTTGATATGGTACTGGTGTTGTTGCTGCTGCTGTTGTTGGTAGTGCTGTTGCTGTTGTTGGTGTGGTAGTTGTTGTTGGTGTTGGTGCTGTTGTTGGTGGTGTTGTGTTGTTGGCGCGTTTGTATGCTTGTGTTTGTTTGAATGTTTGTTTGCTTGCCTGGTTGCTTGCTTGTGTGATTGTTTGTTTGCGTATTTGCTTGCTTGCTTGCTTCCTTTGCTTACTTGCTTGCTTGTTCGGTTGTGTGTTTGTTTGTTTACTTGGTTGGTTATGTGTTTGTTCGTTTGGTTGTTTGTTGTTGTTTGGCGTCGTCTCCCCCGCGACACGGCCCGCGACCACCCGTGACCCACCCCACGACCCGCCCGCGACCCACCGCGACCCACCCGCGACCCACCCGCGACCCAACCCCGCTTAACGAAATTTCGGCGCCTGCGGCGGGCTCATTCTATAATGTGTAAGAATTCGGCGCCGGCGGCGGGCTTCTTCAGAGCCTCGCAAACTGCAGACGTCCCCGCCGCCCCCTCACTCTTATCCGCGACTGCGGGGTGCTGCGTATTTGGGCGCCCGAGTTATCCGGGGTAACTCGGGTCCGGGGTAACTCGGGTTTGGATTCCCGAAAAAGGAACCCGAGTTAGCCCTGACCCGAGTTACCCCTGATGATTCGGGGCTCTGGACGCCCGAGTTATCCGGGGTAACTCGGGTCCGGGGTAACTCGGGTTTGGATTCCCGAAAAAACGAACCCGAGTTATCCCTGACCCGAGCTACCCCTGATGATTCGGGGCTCTGACGTGTGTTCGTCGCTCGTGGCAGTGGCCAAGACGAGAGGCGGCACGTCCCCGGCCGGGGGCCGAAACCTCGTCGTCCAGCGCCGCGTGCTCGGCGCGGGCGTCTCTGCGCGACGCCTCGATGCCCCCGAGGCGCGCCTCGAGCGCCTCCTTCACCTCGCGAAGGGAGGAGGAGGAGGAGGAGGAGGAGGAGGAGGAGGAGGAGGGCGAAGGGCTCTCGAAGGGGTGATGCACGCGCAGATGGCACCCAAACGCCACCACCGTGAGGCCGTAACACAGGACACCCACAAAGGGAAGCTCACCCGACGAGGAGAACCAAGCAGGGCGGGGCCGTTCAGCAAGCGCGCCACACAGCTCGGCAACGCTGATCATGGGGCTAAGGTTGCGTTGCCTCGATCAGGCTTTGCCCAAGTAGGCAAGCGCGTTCCACTGCTCGCGGATAAGCTACTCGCAAATGGCCTGGATCCACCGCGGGGGGAATATGATCCATTACATCCAGGCGGACATGCGTTTTCCAAACTAAAAGAAAAAACAACGCCATAAACATAGCGCTCCGGCCGGATTTTTTGGATCCGCGCTGGACCCCCCTCCCTGGCGCGCGGAGCGCGCCAGGGGCGGCGCCGCCGGGGGCGCCCAGCGCGGATCCAAGAGATCCGCGCGGAGCGCCAAAATTGTATGTGTATGGCATTTGTTCTTCGACAGGAGGCTTTGCCGAAGCAGACAAGCGCGTCCCACTACTCCCAGAGAATCTGCTCGCAAATGGCCTGGATCGGCCGCGGGGGATTTACGATCCACTACACCAGCGCGAACATGCGATTTCCAAACGATTGCGAGCAGGCATCTTGCGAGCAGTGGAATTGGGCGCCCGAGTTATCCGGGGTAACTCGGGTCCGGGGTAACTCGGGTTTGGATTCCCGAAAAAGGAACCCGAGTTAGCCCTGACCCGAGTTACCCCTGATGATTCGGGGCTCTGGACGCCCGAGTTATCCGGGGTAACTCGGGTCCGGGGTAACTCGGGCTTGGATTCCCGAAAAACGAACCCGAGTTATCCCTGACCCGAGTTACCCCTGATGATTCGGGGCTCTGGACGCCCGAGTTGTCCGGGGTAACTCGGGTCCGGGGTAACTCGGGCTTGGATTCCCGAAAAAACGAACCCGAGTTATCCCTGACCCGAGTTACCCCTGATGATTCGGGGCTCTGACGAAACGCACTCGGTGACTAAGGGGCTCTGACCGAGCTGTGAAGCGCAAGCAGCGGGTGCCGGGGGCGCGCGATTGGCCCAGGCGGGGCACACCGGCGCACTGCCTTCTTCCCAAGGGGGGGGAGTCCTGGGGGGGTGCTGGGCCTTGCTTCCTTAACCTCATGCCCGTGAGAATAAACACTAGGGGATAATAAAGTTCGGGGTTCAGGGAGAGATAATAAAAGTAGCCCAGCAGACCTCAGCATAATCTCGAAGTAAGAGATGATCCAGAGGAGACCAAGCCGAGCACGTTTTGAGACATCCTTGGCGTTTAGTTTTCATAGAAATATCCTCAACACTGGCTTATCTCTCATGAAAATTGGCATGCGGTTAGGAGGTCGGGGGGAAGGAAGGGGTAGGACAGCAAAGGGCAGGGTAGGGACTCAGCCCACGTAGCTGGGCTTCTCTCGCTTCCTCACGAGGTCGGGGGGGACGAAGGGGTTGGACAGCCAAGGGCAGGGTAGGGACTCAGCTCACGCAGCTGGGCTTCTCTCGCTTCCTCACGAGGACGAGGGTGACGAAGGGGTAGGCTCGCAAAGGGCAGGTTAGAGACTCAGCTCACATAGCTGGGTTGTTCTTGCTTCCTGACGAGGCGGGGGGGCGAAAGGGTAGGACAGCACAAGGTAGGGCAGAGACTCAGCTCACACAGCCGGGTTTCCTGGCCCCTCCTGGCGCCGGGAGGCGCGCGTGCATCGAGGAATGGGCCTGGTGGCGGGGCCAAAGCCAGCTGCATGCAGCAGATGTTCTAACTGAAGAGGCCCCGGGACACACAAACTAATAGACACTAATCCCGGGCGTCCCCATATTTTTCCCATATTTTCTTGGTTCCGTCTTCCCCCCCACCTCCCATTTCTTCCAATTTTTGCCAAGGATTCGACGATGAATTGTGTCTGTGTGTGTTTTTCCCCTCCAGAGTACCCCTCCCCCTTTCCCTATCCCCCCCTCTCGTTCGGCCCGACACGAGCTTTGGGCTCCCAGGACTTGTTTTACAGTTGGACCTGTAGGCCAGAAGAACATCCCTCAAGAACACGAAACCCTCCGCCGGCCAAAACGCACAGAACATCCAAGGGTACCCTCCCCAGGGTGCACAAGAGCATCCAACAAACACGAAGAACATCAGGGTCTCTCCCCGAACCTCTCCCCCTCCAATAGGATGGTGTCCGTTTCGGGATGATGATCCTCGACGCCGTGGACCCCCGCTCGCCCTGACAAATGCCAGGGGTGGAAGGAGAAGACGCCTCGAAGACGGAGTACCCTTGGTGGGCCCCAGAAACGGCGAGGCCGTTGTTTCACAGTTTTCGAAAAAAGGTGTCTTGAAAAAGGGAACGGCCCCCAAAAAACGCAACTGGACACAGCAACAAAAACGGCTCCAGCATTGGAACAGGAGCCGGAACCGGTGAAGAAACGGCGACAGTACCGGTGAAAAGACGGCGTCGGAACCGGCAAAAAACGGCAAAACGGACGCAGTCAAAAAACGGCCCTGTTGTTTCCAGGGCCCACTGAGGGAGTGCCAGAGTGCCCTCCTCCTCCTCCTCCTCCCCGTCCTCCTCCTTTCGCTGCTCTCTTCTGACGAAAGACGATGACTGCATTGGGTGAGAGGCTCTCGCCGTGGTTGGTCTTTACTTCTGAGCTATCACATCCGCCACCACTACACCCTGCGAAATGCTTAAGAAATCATGGGTTAAGAAATTCATAGTCTCAGACCTTGAATAAAAACCAAACATTTCTATTAAAATCTTAGGGTTTACATTGAAACATTAAGAATAATCGAGACTCTGGCCGAAAACGTAAGTTTTCTTAAGCATCGCCTAAGGTGTAGAGTCCTCGCTTTGAAGCCCGTCTTCGGCCGGAAGCCTCCCAGCTCCTCTGCAGATCCCACTCCCCTCCTTGATGGCACGAGCCTCCTCTTCCTCCCCCTCCTCCTCCTCCAACTCCTCCTCCTCCAACTCCTCCTCCTCCTCCTCCTCCTCTCCTCCTCCTCCTCCTCCTCCTCCTCCCTCCTCCTCCTCCTCCTCCTCCTCCTCCCCCTCCTCCCCCTCCTCCTCATCCAACTCCTCCTCCTCCTCCTCCTCCTCCTCCTCCTCCTCCTTCTCGTCCTTCTCCTCCTCATCCTCGTCGTCGGACGTGGCACACCCTCGCAAACAGTGGCTGGTGACATACACCACGACTTCACTCGGATGAGGAGGAGGAGGAGCAGGATGAGGAGGAGGAGGAGGAGGAGGAGAAGCAGGAGGAGGTTGTGTTCACCATCTCCTTCCTGTTGTGAACGAGGTAGGGGTGTCGGAGAAGTGGGCCGGGAGAGTCCTTATCCTCATGCTGAAAGGGGTGGGGCAACGAAGGAGCTCCGAAGATAGTGGTGGAGTTCAGGATGCGAGAGTGCAGCCATGCGCCCAATTCGCAACGACTGTCTGTCCTCTATCTTCGGCTCTCTCTCTCTCTCTCTGACGAGCGGCATGGGGCGGGCAAGGGCCTTCTTCGTGGCTCGACGCTTGAGCATGTCCTCACGATGCAGCGGCTCCCCTCATCCGTCATCTCCTGATAACGCCCTTCATCAGCATCTCCTGCTCCTCCTGCTCCTCCTCCTCCTCCTCCCTCCTCCTCCTCCTCCTCCTCCTCCTCCTCCTCCTCCTCCTGCTCCTCCTCCTCCTCCTCCTCCTCGTCCTCCTGCTCCTCCTCCTCCTCCTCCTCCTCCTCCTCCTCCTCCTCCTCATCCCCCTCCTCCTCCTCCTCCTCCGAGGAAACGCTTCTCACCGCTGTAAAGCCGCGGGTTGCGTCGACCAGCTCCACATCGGCATTCCTGGAGGCCGCAGCGCCCACTCGAAGACAGAGAGAGGAGATAGAGGAGGGCAGTGCTAACAATTGAACGTAGCTGCGATCACCAGGAAGATCCACAACCGTGTCCCGAAGGCACGTTCAGGCGTGGCAGAATGCCAAGGCTGTCTCGCAGAATTCTGCTTGAACCATCCCCCCTCCCGAATCGATCAGCAGTCACAAAAACTGCAGGCCCCCGCTCCCGAAACCACGATACCCTTTACAAAAACAATAGATCCGCGCTCCTGAGCGTCCAAGACGGCCCAAGACTTCCCGGAGAAACGATGGACCCGCGCCACCAAGTCCACGTTCCCCACATGAGAAGGTATTGGTCAGCGCTCCCGAGGCCATGGTCCTTCGTAAAAGAAAACTGGATCAGCACTCCAAAAAGACCCAGGCCGCCAAGGACGCCAAGCCAAGAAAGCCCAAGATGGCCGCAAGACGGCCCAAGATGACCCCAAGCTGCCAAAGATAGCCTCAAGGCAGCCCAAGAGGCCCCCAAGAGAGCCACCAGAGGACCCCCAGCGGGGCCCGCAGAGGGCAAACTCAGCAACTTCCCTCAAGTGTTTGAAGATGCTGGCGTGTTCAGCGTTTCAGGCTCCCTTCAGCTCCAGGTAGCACCAGGAGCCTCCAGGATGGCCCAAGAGGGCCCGTAGACGGCCCAAGACAGCTCCAAGACATCCCAAGAATGGCCCCAAGATGGCTCAAGAAGGACCCAACTGAACCCCAAGACTGCACCACGGGAGCCCAAGACAGCCTAATCATGGCCCAAAGGCCCGCGACCTGTGACGCTCGCTCGATAGAAACGTTACCGCCTCCGGTCGCCCCTCGAGCAGTCGCCTTCGACGGTACTCGACTGGCGCGGCGGCGGGTCTTGCGACGGACAGCTGGCCGTCGAAGTTGTTCAGCTAATGCGTACTGGAACGGTACGAGCGCATCGGACAGCAGCAGCATGAGGAGGGATGAGGAGCAAGAGCAGGTCGATGAGCAGGAGGCAGAGGATGAGAATAACGAGCTGGAGCCAGAGCATAAGGATGGAACGAGGAGGATGAGGAGCAAGGAACACGGAGGCGGCTGTGGCGGAGATGGGGCCAGGAGGAGGTGGAGAGGCAGGAGGCAGAGGACCCTGAGGAGGAGGAGGAGGAGGAGGAGGAGGAGGAGGAGGAGGAGGAGGAGGGGGAGGAGGAGGAGGAGGAGGCAGAGGCAGAAGCAGAGGCATATGCACAGTTCGATCGAGGAGGAGGGGGGGAGGAATGAAGAGAGGAGGAGGTGAGGAGGGGCGAGGAGGAACGGGAGGACCAGGGTGAGGACGTCTTTCGGCCCGCCATCGCTCCTGACCCACGAAGAACCACACCAGCGGCTCCACGTCGCACCGCCCCGCGCCGCCACCTTGTCCGGGGACTCCCCGCCGTGCCTGTGCCGCAGGTGCAGGTAGCCCGTCTTTCGGGTCGGGCGAAAGGGGGGGATAGCAAAGGGGGGGTTTGAGAATCAGCTCACGTAGCTGATTTTCCCGGCGCCTCCCGGCGCCGGAGGCGGCTATGTATCGAGGAATGGGGCCCTCGGTGAGGCCGAAACCAGCTGCATGCAGCAAATTTCGTAACCCCCCCTTTCCCAATCCCCCCCTTTCGCCCGACCCGAGCCTTGCACTGGAAGCCCTGCTCGAACTCGGCCGGCCCGCCGACCATCCACGTGCCCGCGTCCGGGCTGCTGGAGCTCGGGGCGGAGTAGACCCAGCGGTCGGCGCTGGAGCTCTTCCAGAGCGGCTGGCCGCCGGCGGTGGCGCCCTGCACCAGCCTGCTGGGGGTGCGCGGGGAGCTGGAGAACGCTCGCTCCGACCAGCCCCTGGAGACGGAGGAGAGCGTGTCGAGTCGGGCCTGTCCCCCCTACAGGGGGATTTTCGACGAAAAATAAAAAATACCCCCGAAGTAGCCAAAAAATTGACCAAACATAGTCCGGGAACTACTTTTTGAGCATTTTGTGTACCCTTTTGGTAGATTTTTGGGGCTATTCTTACTTGTCATCGAAGATCCCCCTCTAGGGGGACACGCCCGACAGAAAGATTGTGAGCATCCGGCGAGGCTCGTCCCCCCCCTCCCCTTCCCCACGAACCCGCGGGCCCCGAGCCTGTACTCGCCCATGCAGTCCGGCCGCTCCTCCGAGAGGAGGTACAGCCGGCGCGGCGCGGCCCCGCGCGGCGAGGGCTGCGCCGCGGCGTCTGCCACGACGGCATCCGCGGGCAGCAGAGACGCCCCGGGGCGCCAGGAGGCCTCATCTCGGCCACACGCAGGAGTGACCCTGGACCCTGGGCAGGAGTGACCGAAGGGGCCCTGGGACACGCAAGGAAATGCACACAGATATAAAAAGGTTCCCCATGCTATCCCATATTCTCTGGGCTCTTGTCTTCCCCCCCACTTCCCATAGTTTCCCAGATTTTCTGGGGGATCGACGATTAATTGTGTCTGTGTGTTTTTTCCCTCCTGAGTGACCTTTGTTTGGTGCGCGACCCTTGGGGGGGCCGCGGGGGGGCCAAACCTGGGCGCGCAAGCAGCTGCTGCTGCCTCGTGTTCCGCCATCCGGGGACCCACCTGTGCCTTGGGCATGGCTTAATGGGGGGGTCACAAATGGGGGGGGGTCAGAAAAGGTCCCCTTTCGTGCCCCTTTCGGGCCCCTCCAGAGCCCCAGGGGGCTCGTTTAGGTACCGTTTGGGTACCTTTTCGAACCACCCTTGCCACCCCCCCATTTATGACCCCCCCATTACGCGGCGCCCAAGTGCCCGCACCAGAGGCCACTCCGGCGACAGGCCCCTCTGACGTCCAGTCGAGCCTCGCCGTCGGGGCCAGGGCACTGCTCGTGGAGGGTCACGCCGACCCACAGGCCTTCTGACTACCTACCAGACCACCCCAGCCCAACCCGAAGACCCGAATTCCGGGTTGGGGGGGGGGGATGGGCTCCATATATATATATATATATATATATATGTGTGTTTTTTCGATGCTCCCGGACCCCCCCCCACTAGAAATCGAGGGTAAATCCGAGCCTTCGGGTTGGGTTGTCGGGAGCGGCCAAGAGGGGGGTGTCCAAGAGGGGGGGGCGCAAATCATGGCCGGCGGCATGTGCGCGGCCCAGCGGATGGGGCCAGGGACGTAATGAAATGAGAAGAGGCGCCATGAAACCTGGGGAAATATCATGGCCCGCGCCATGATATCCACCCCCCCCTAGTCATCACCCCCCTCTTTTCCGCCCTCGAGGGGTGGTTTGGTGGGTGGTGACCTTCATGCCCGGGCAGGGCTCCGTAGAAGCTGACGGCCCCGGTCGCCCCCGCTGCCGGAAGGCCAGGACACGGCGTCGGCAGATTCGCCCTCGGAGCTCCGTGCTGGATCTCTTGCGCCGCCGAGTCGCCGTCCTCCTCCTCCTCCCTCCTCCTCCTCCTCCCCCTCCGCCTCCCCTCCTTCCTCCTCATCCTCCTCCTCCCTCCTCCTCCTCTCATACCCTTCCTCCTCCTCCCTCCTCCCCCATCTCGTCCTCCTGCCTCCTCTCTCCTCCTCCTCCTCCTCCTCCTCCTCCTCCTCCTCCTCCTCAATTAAGGGCCCTGGGGGCACCAACATGGAGCAACTAAGCACACACGCACGCACGCACCGCACAGCACACGCACCCGCCATCGCACACGCAACCCGGCACCCGCACCCGCACTCCGCACCCCGCACTCCGCACACGCACACGCCGCGCCGCGCACAGCGACGCGCACGCGCGACGCGCACCGCGCGCGCACGCACGCACTCACCACGCAGCGACGCACTCACGCACGCACCACGCCGCACGCAACTGCACGCACGCACGCACACACACACACACACACACACACACACACACACACACACATACTCAGAAATAGACACGGAGCACGGGACTTCCCATACTGCTGCGTTGCTTCTGGGCTTTCGTCTTCCCCCCCCCTCGCCATAGTTTCCCACATGTTCCTGGGAATCGACGTTTATTTGTATCTGTGTGTTTTCCCCCTCCTGTCACAAGCGCGCGGAACGCGACAAAGGCCGCGCCAGAGGCGCCGCTACGAGGTATGGGGAGGGGGTCCAGCGCCGACCCAAGAGATTCGCGTGGACCTCTAAACTCACGGCGGGTTCGCATGACGTCGGCGTTGGTCTCTGACTCCTCGTGGACTTGCTCAACCGAGACAGATCGCCGCTTCCTGACAGCCGATAAACCCTGAGAACGTACGGTAATCGCCGAGCTCAGGCGGACGGTGACCTTCAGCCCGGAGCGCACACGCTGACGTTGCCGCCGCGTCAACGCGGAGCGAACTCACCGCATGCAGGAGCGGTCAGCAGCGAATCGACACATCGGGTAGGATCATGATCAGAGCAGGCACCGAGACGGGTCGCATCGGCACGGAAAGGAATCGAATCGGCTTCGCCAAGATGACAAACAACGCCATTCAAGCATCAGGCCACACCGGACCGTCGGGATACTGGAGTCGGATCGGGTCGCGCCGGTCGGGATCGAGACCGAAAATCTGATCGATCGCATCGATCGTACCGAAACGGATCGCGCTGTGCCGTTTCTGCTGGCCTTCCGTCTTGCACCGGGACCCTGGAGGTCACCTGGGTGGCGACATCCGAACCCTACCCCTACCAACCATCGTTCCTCCTGAATCGATGGAAGGCGGGGGTATGGTTCGGATTTCGCCACATGTTCGACGAATTCCGAAACCTACCCCGCCGAGTTGCCTGAATCGTTGGTCGGCGAGGGTTTCGGCCGTCCAGATGGGGTCGGAGTAGATGGGGTCGAAGGATCGCTCCGCATCGCCGACGCGGCTCGATGCGGAGCCCGATTTCCTCCCTGTCGACGTCGCACCTGCATCGCCGACGCCGCTGGTGCATCGCCGGTGCATCGCCAGTGCATCGCCGATGCATCGTCGATGCGGCGCGATCCTCCGATCCCATCTGCTCGGACTCCACTTTAGGGCGACCGAATCTATACATATCCACTGCTCCCTGGCCAGGCACACCGTGAACCCAGCAGCAGCGTATACGCCACACCCTCCTGGCCGGGCCAGGAGGGCGTATACACAGCTCCTGGGTTCAGAGTGGGCCTGGCCAGGGAGCAGTGGATATGTATAGATTTCGTCGCCCGACCACTTTCGGGAGCGGCCAAGAGGGGGGTGTCCAAGAGGGGGGGGTGCAAATCATGGCCGGCGGCATGTGCGCGGCCCAGCGGGGGGGCCAGGGACGTAATGAAACAAGAAGAGGCGCCACGAGATCTGGGGAAATATCATGGCCCCCGCCATGATATCCACCCCCCCCTAGTCATCACGCCCCTCTTTTCCGCCCCCGACACTTGAGCGACGAGCAGAAAGGAGTCTCAAGCGGGACGGCACAGCGCCCGTACGCGGCGGCGTGCACGCGGGCCGCGAGCGCGGCACGCTGCACTAAAAAAACGAGGGCGCCCGCGCCGGACCTTTTGCGCGGGCAGCTTTTGCGCGCCAGTGGCGTCACAGACGGCCCCGTCTGCGTCGCCTGCTTTCGGCGGCGAGCGCCAGGATTGCAAAAGATTGCAAAAAAAACAGGGTTTGTTTGCAATCAAGGGTCTTTTTGCAATCCAGGGTTTTTTTGCAATCCTTCGTTTTTTTGCAATCCTTCGGGAAGTGAGACGGAGAAGGGCTTCTCGGAAGGCGGCGGCGCTTCTCATAAGCCATCGCGCCTTCTGAGAAATTTCCTGTGTCTCCTGGGAAAGGCTCAGACAACTTCCCAGGAGGCCAGAGGACTTCCGGGCCTTGTCAGAAGGCTCACTCCTTCTCCCCCTTCGCTCGCCGCCAACAGTTGGGAGGCCTCAAGAGGGTGAGAGTGAACCTGGTCAGAGTGACCTCCGGTGCTCGGCTCCTTCTGGGGCCGCAGGGGGACCAACAGACGAGCGCGCGAGACGCTACTACTAGATCGATTCGCGCTCGGCGGTCGGGGGACCGCCTTGTGCCCGCACCAGAGGGCACTCTGGCGAAAGGTCACTCTCACGTCTAGTCTTAGGTCGGGCGTGTCCCCCTACAGGCGGATTTTGGATTAAAGAACAGAAAATATACAGGCGGATTCTGGACGAACAATAAAAAATACCCCAAACCTATTCAAACATTAACAAAAATACCCCCCCCAAAAAAACATCGTCCCCAGACTGTGTTTTAAATACTAGTCTTGAATATTCCTAGAGGGACACGCCTGATTTACGTACACGCAGGAGCGCCCCCTAGTCGGGAGCGGCCAAGAGGGGGTGTCCAAGAGGGGGGGGGGTTGCAAATCATGACCCGCGGCATGTGCGCGGCCCAGCGGGGGGGCCAGGGGCGTAATAGAATGAGAAGAGGCGCCACGAGATCTGGGGAAATATCATAGCCCGCGCCATGATATCCACCCCCCCTAGTCATCACCCCCCTCTTTGCCGCCCCCGAATATTCCTAGAGGGACACGCCTGATTTACGTACACGCAGGAGCGCCCCCCAGGCAGGAGAGTCGGGGATGGACAGACCTCCCTTTAGTAAAACGTGGTTTAGTGAAAACGACCCGAGGCCCAAACCTGGTGGGCGCAGGCCTGGAAAATAACGGCCACGGCGCCCTCTCGAGAACCGAAAACGGACAATTCACTAATCGACGTGCCACTGTTGGGGGTTCTGTCCACCCCCGACATTCCTAGAGGGACACGCCTGATTTGCGTACACGCAGGAGCGCCCCCCAGGCAGGAGAGTGACCTCTTGACTACCTACCAGACCACCCCAACCCAACCCGAAGACCCGAATTTCGGGTTGGGGGGGGGGGAAGGGTTCCACATGTGTTTTTTCGATGTTTCCCGACCCCCCCCCCCACTGGAAATCGAGGGTAAATCTGAGCCTTCGGGTTGGGTTGGGGTGGTTTGGTGGGTGGTGACCTCTGCGGCGCGGCTCCGGGATGCCGCGGGCAAGGCCGGATCCGAGCGCGCAGGCCGGATGCTGGAGGGGGGCCCCCCCGGGAGAGCCCGCCTCGGAGGCCCCTCCGGCGGCAGGCCGCTCTGACCGAGCATCGTTTCTCCGACCCCCATCCCCAGCCTCCTCCTCCTCCTCCTGCCTCCTCCACCCCTCCTCCTCCTCCTCCTCCAACCTCCTCCTCCCTCCTCCGCCACCTCTCCCTCCTTCCTCCCTCCTCCCGCCATACCCCTCGACTCTCCTCCTCCTCTCCTCCTCCTCCTCCTCCTCCTCCTCCTCCTCCTCCTCCTCCTCCTCCTCCTCCTCCTCCTCCTCCTCCTCCTCCTCCTGGCGTGGCCTGGGCCCCCACTGGCCGATTTACCCCCCAGATGAGGATATAGGCCGTTCCCCTCGGGTTTCGAGTGATGTCTCCCCAACTGGGATGGTAATTCGGTGGGGGTCTCGAAGGGGATGGGGATGGGGATCGGTTGAACGATACCGAGCACAGAGGCCACTCCGGCGAAAAGTCACTCTTACGCGTTGCCGAATTTGGGAGGCGTCCAGCACATGAAGAACAAAAACGGCATGAACATAAACTTCTGGCGCTCCGAGCGGATTTCTTGGATCTGCGCCAGACCGCCCTCCCTGGCGCGCGGAACGCGCCAGGGGGCGGCGCCGGAGGCGCCGCCCGGGTGGCCCAGCGCGGATCCAAGAGATCCGCGCGGAGCGCCAAAAGTTTATGTGCTTGTTCTTCTTCGATCCAGATGGCCTCCTAGATGGGGTCCGAGTAGCTGGGGTCGGCGGATCGCACTGCATCGCCAATGCATCGCCGATGCATCGGCGACGTCGGCGATACATCGGCGCCGTCGGCATGGCGAGAATCGGGCTCCACATCGAGCCGCATCGCCGATGCATAGGCGATGCGGCGCGGTCCTCCGACCCCATCTTTCAGGGACCGACCGTCCCGGCACTCTTTCAGGCCTACCGCGCCATGTCCTCCGAGCCCAGGCATGCTCTAAGAACCAAAAACCACGTCCCTAGAACATCACCCCGATGTGCTAAAACAAGGACCCCATCCACTCGGACCCCATCTACTCGGACCCCATCTGTTTGGACGCCCGAAATGGGTACGGAAAACATGGGTACAATGCCCAACAACAAATGTTGTCCCAAACCCACAGCGGCCGCCGTTGTTGAGCAGGGGCCGACCGTCCTGGCATTCCTATAGTCCTACCACGAAATGTTCTTAGTGTTCTTAGAACCCAAAAATGTTCCAATAACAAAAATATTGCTCTTAGAACAGAATCCCGATGTGTTAAAACAAGACAGTCCCGGCCAGAAATGTTCTAAGAACATTTCGTGCAGACCACGAAAGGCTCTTAGAACATTGTGCGGTGGGGCTATGGGCGAGCCAGGACGCTTCGCCACTGCTTGCTGTTGGGCAGGCGGCCTTCTGTCCCGAATGGACACAGGCCGCGG